CTCCATTGGTCAGTCTAACTCCACTGGTCACACTGGTCAGTCTAACTGCACTGGCCAGTCTAACTCCATTGGTCAGTCTAACTCTACTGCCAATCTAACTCTATGGTCAGCATAACTCCAGCCCAATGATTTCAGAGGGAGGGGAAGAGAAAAATAACAGGGGATTGTTCTTTCTCCCAGTTACTTTTTTTCCATCTGGAATAAGCAAAAACTTCCAGACAGAAATGAGCTGGGAAAGCAGCAACAGGACATGAAGAAGAGAGGGGGTCTGATTGGATAACTCCTTCAAAGAGTCAGGACACACACGATGGGTTGAATGGTCTCCTCCTGTTACTGCAAACAACCATATCACGGAATGAACCCACACCGTGATTACAGGGCAGTAAGGGGCCTTTCGGCTACAGACCGCTCTTCCCCCCACATTCTTCTGCTTGAGGTAATATTCCAGTTTCCTCCTGGAAAACCTCCATTGAAGTTGCCTCCAGCTCAGACATTCCAGAGCCTTACCCTCTTGCTGTTTGGAAAAGTTTTTATCTTCATGACAGCACTGCATCTTTGAATCTGTGTACTCTGGTTCAGCATCCTTCTGGAATTCGGTAGTCTTGCTCTCTCCTCCCCTCTCCATTCCTGCTCTTTCTGTTCATGCCCTCTCTCAGTTCCTGCCCCCTCTATTCTTGCTCTCTCCATTCCTGCCCTCTCCAAGCTCTTGCTGTCTCCTGTTTTATCTGGAGTCCTGCTGTCTCTATGCTCCTGCCCTCCCCATACACCCCTTCTCTCTATTGCTGTCCCTAATGATTGTGGGCTTGTTGCCATCTGTGGAATACTGCTTCCTATCTGTTCCTGCTAAGGACAGGAAGTGAGAAGCAGGCTCACCAGCTTCAATGGTTCTTGGAAATTATTACTTTTCTTAAAGCATCGTGCCTGCAGCATTTTCAAAGTATGAGTGTTATGTAGCAATATGATTTAATTGGAAGTCAGTGATTATTAATTTATTTCAAAAGGGGTCTGTCATCAAAAACCACTTCAGACACACTGATGTAATTAACATAAATGAACATGGATTTACATAATGCCAAACGAGGCAGGGTAATAGAATTGGATGTAGCAGCTCTGAAGATACACCCACACCCGTCTCACACCCCCCTCCCTCTCACACCCACAGGACCCACACCCCACTCCCTCTCTCACTCGCACCCACACCCTCGCTCACCCGCACTCCCACTCTCCCTCGTGCACCCGCACCCTCTCACACCCACACCCACAACACCCATACCCGCATGCCTACCTTCCCACACCCTCACCCTCTCATATCCATACCCACAACACACACTGTCTCTCTCTCACCCACACCCACTCCCTCTCACCCGCTTCAGCAACACTCACACCCACTCTCTGTCTCTCACCTGCAACACCCACACCCACACTCTGTCTCTCACCTGCAACACCCACACCCACACCCTCTCAACCGCACCCACTCTCTCTCACCCACACCCACAAAACCCACACCCACTCTCCCACACCCACAAAAACCCAGTCCCACTCCCTCTCACACCCAGTCCCACTCCCTTTCTCACACCCACAACACCCACACCTTTTTCACACCCACAATACCTACACCGTCTCACACCCACAATACCTACACCGTCTCACACCCACACCCTCTCTAAACCCACACCCACAACACCCGCACCAACTCTCTCACACTCTCACACCCACAACACCCATCCCCCTCCCTCTCACACCCACAGGACCCACACCCCAC